ACACATGCACAGCAAAAACAAGACAATCAATCGCCTGCAACGTGGGCCAGCATCCTTCGAACCTAGGAATAACAAAAGCAGTTGAGAATTTCCAAGTCGTTAAAAATGGCATAACAGGTGAACAAGTAGTTGTAATACAACTGCTAGAATTTGACTGCATGAATGTAGTGCAACTAGAACGGTGCTTAATATCGGTTTAGTAAGTAAAAGTAAAAGTTTATACACGAACGGTTTCACATAACAAATAACCACTGAACTGCATCCGTCCCTAAATTAATAAACTGTTCATTCCGAAACTCCCAGCGGACGTCACTAGTGCAGTACGTTTACCGTAAAACGTGGTCGGGGACTACAAAGACAAAGCCTAACCCGAAAAGGAACCTTATCGGCAAATTTTGTAGCAGAGCAAATTACGCAGCTAATTCGTTGAACGGTATGATATATCGTTGATCGCTAATGCAGTAATGAGCAGTTCAGTTAGCGCGCGCACAAATTCAGGTGACCTTTCGAGTTTGCGGTGTTTTTCAGTTCGTGGTTATGAGGGCACAGCCAAAGACGCAATCCAACGCGATAAGCTTCCAAAAAAGCTGCTGCAGTGCGACCGTACCACCGAAATACCACCGGCGCTTGCTTGGGAATTACGAGCCAGTATCCCAGGTATCGGCACAAGAGCAGTTACTGCTACATAGTATAAAAACGATGCACATAAGAATGTCTAACGAATTTCGAAGGCGTACTGGTTTTCTCTCGTTCCGATTGACACCGTTCCGGCCACTTAACTGCTACAAGGCTACCGAGAACGACGTGCAACAACACAGCAATAACAACACAGACGATTGGCAATAACAACGCAGACATAAACAGTCGTAACTGACTTTAACGATCCACAGCAACTCGTCTGGCAGCATCATGCGTCTGTTTACCATTACCATGCAGAAAGTGTAATTATCGCCATAAAAATCATACCTCGGGCATGAGTAATAACGAACAGAGCAGAGCTTGTTTGCGCCAAATAGAGGCGTCGAGTTTTTTTCAGTTCTACATCGTACGCTAGTTATGCAGTAATGAACGGTGCGACGCTCATGCGAGCAGGCGCAATCGTCCGCAACGAATTATTCAGCTATCATGTGGCATAAGAGATTTATTTATCACTTGGAAATTCCTTGGACAGGGGCCACGCAACTTCTTGGAAACAACCGAACAAAAACCGGTACAGAAACGGCATACTAATCGTCGTTAAGCGGAAAACCGGGGACATTCCCAAATTAGCGTGAAACGCTTCGACGCGTCGGCGCGGGAACTATATTAACCGACCGTTAAAGCCGCGGAGTTACTGTCTTAAGTTCATCTTCTAACCAGTCTCTACATCAACAACAGCGCAGTCGCTGCCTTCAAGAAACTTTTGCGTACAGTTGCTCGATTATTGTTCATCATGCGCGTTTTCATGCTGACCTTTCTCCTGGTGTTGTTGGTCAGTTACAGCGCCGGCCAGTTTGTCGGCTTGTGCGCCCGTCCGGAAGTGTGCAAACCCGGCAATCCGTTGTGCGACAAGGGCTCCGTGGAGTGCCTGGGTTGCGGATGCGGCGGATCCGGAGGTGGCGTCCCTTCGTGCCGCACGTGTTGCTGAAGCCCGTAAAAAGGTAGCGCATATCTTCCTGTACCGTTGTGCAGTTTTACCACAGTTCTGCATATACCGTGCCGAATTAGGAAACCTAGACGCTTTGTTTTGACGCCTGCCTGCAAATCGAGACCTTTTCGGTTTGGGCTCAGTACTGGCGATGCGCGCTTTCCGTCGATTAAATTTTTCGATTGCGTTGTATGTTTGGCCATGACGCACTAAATTATGTTAATCTGCTTCGTGTAGGTTCAAGCTGCTCGGCCATCGCGAAAGCCACAGCTCTGTCACATGGGCCAAGATTGTACATTGAAGATTTATGCAACGGAATTGCCAGTGCTAATTGCTTAGTGCATTCTGCTGCTTTAACCAATTGTCGGTGTGGAACCACTGTACTGTATATTTTATTAGCCGGCACTGTGAGCTTCTAAAATTCCTACTATATATGAACGATATTGAAATGGATTTAGTGTGCCTGTTAGTTATGACGTTATGACTGCTAAATAAAAACGTAATCTTCACAACAGACTGTGGAAAATGCAAGTTCTGTGAATTTAATGGCGAGAAATAAAATCAAAACATACAGCAAACTCTTCCAGTTATCGGGTAACAATGCGCGATAAAATGCCCAAAAGGACGTTCGCCCGTCTAGGCACTGTAAAAACACCTCGACCTTGTTTAAAAAGCCTTGATGATGTAGCGCGGAAATTAAGAGACTTAGTATGAATTGCGAGTACTATCTTTCTTGAAGGAACTCTGGCAAAACTGTGCGTGATATTTTGTTGTGTGGTGAGCATCGCCCTGAAGAGCACAGATTATGTGCAATGTAGCGGCACTATACCAGACCCAGACCCAAACCGATGTCCAACAAATTCTTGACAGCAAGGCCGTGGCCCGAAGCGAAAGCCGGGTTGCCGGCATTCATCGCCGCCAGCGCCTGTGCGCGCCGGATGAGGATGTAGCGGCGACGCAGACCGCGGTCGGAAGGGTGCAGGCTCTGCCAGGGCCCGAAGGAGTTGAGGTACAGGGACTGCAGGCTGCGCTCCACGGGGGCCTCCGTCGTGGTTGTAGTGGGTGGGGTCGTCGTGGTGTTGGGCGGGGTTCGTGCGAGGAAATTCGCCAAGTGGGTTCGTGCGCGTTCCGAGTGCAGGCGAAGCATCGTGGCGGCCGGTGCCGGCCACATGCGAACGGTTGCGTGGGTTGCATTGGCCATAATTAGCAGATAAAACGCGACGGAGAGGATCATGTTGCGGCGTAAAGCTGCGTCTGATTGCTGCTGTGATTGTCGTTAGACGAAGAGATACCGTTTTAGATGTATTATTAATAGTTTATGGCATTCAGATGATGAGAGGTTACAATAACGGGATCAAGAGTCGCAACAGTAAAACCAGGCAGAACGGTTTCTGGCACAAGGTCAATCCGAAGGAATTATGTTACGGTTACGAGCATTCGTCAGCATATACATGTACACCGCTGGTTGAGCTGGCTAAACAAGAAACACGAAAATTCTGATCAGCCAGAATTAGTAGAACTATACTGCGTAGAACGAATATCCGAAATCTAAGAACGTGCCGAGTAGTGTAACTCGACCATAAGAAACTGAGCTTCAATTTCCGTAGAGTGAGAATGGATAAGCTGTCGTCCATGACCAGGGTTCAATCTGCGGTTATAAGACAGACAGTCGTAACCTTTTCTTTGAACCACAGTCAACATAATCTACGAAGCGCTTCATTATGCAATTAACGCTGACAAAGTAGACAAAGCGTACTTACGCAAATAGGCCCTGGAGACCAGACCCGTTTAGCTCTGCTTTTACTGGCATCGTGTGATGCCATTCACCGCCGCATCCTACGCTGTCAAAGTGGGCGGATTCCCGATATACCGGTTCACAAGGCGGTATTAAAACTCGGTTCATGGCGATGACGCGGCTCCTTTTCACCCGCGACCCACTCGCGACCCAGAGCGGCCCTCTTATTTTCTCTTGGTCAAGAACAAACCGTGTATCGCTAAAGTGTAATCATAGAAAAGAATACAAGTAGGGAAAAGCTTCGTGGAATCGGCGGTGTTCGTCACCGTACAACTACGTATTCGCACCCGGTTATTTGTTCAGTTTTTGTATTTTGTTTGTGGCTATTAAGATCTGAAACTGCGTATTACTTGGTACTTCTAGGTCGCCGTAAAGATTACTTTATTTAGCGAGCATAACGAACAGCATCACTGAAATTCATGTTATTACTGTATCGGTCATTATACAGCGGGAAGTTTCGGTTGGTGATACATGCAATAGTCAGTCACACACAGACGGGTTAAAGCAGCAAAATACAGTAAGCAATTAACAATTAATAGCAATCTCGAATAATTCCCGAAGCAAATTTTCCATATCTTGTCAATGTTGGTCGATGTGATACGGCTGTGGATTTCGCGACGGTTAAGCAGCTTCAACCTACAAACACGGTGGAGGTCACGTAATGTTACACAGGCGCTAATATATAACGCTAATAAGTATTGTACAATACATGTTTGCGTAGCAATCGTTACAACGAAGCATCTGACTTTACACTTTATGCGTATGAACTGTGGTAAAACTGCACAACGGTACAGGAATATATGCGCTACCTTTTTACGGGCTTCAGCAACACGTGCGGCACGAAGGGACGCCACCTCCGGATCCGCCGCATCCGCAGCCCAAGCACTCCACGGAGCCCTTGTCGCACAAGGGGTTGCCGGGTTTGCACACTTCCGGGCGGGCGCACAAGCCGACAAACTGACCGGCGCTGTAGCTGACCAACAGCACCAGCAAAAACGCATCGACAGCGATCGAACAAACGTAGTGATAAAGTTTCTGGAAGACAGCGACTACGCTGCTGCTGTTGTAGAAAATGGTTAGAAGAGGAATTCGAGACAGTAACGTGGCAGTTGGGACGGTCAGTTAATATAGTCCCCGCGCCGACGCGCCGAAGCGTTTTACGCTGTTCTGGGATTCCCCCCGGTTTCCGCTTATTATTAGTAAGCAATTTTCTACCGGTTTCTGTTTGGTTGTTTCCAAGAGGTTGCGTGGCCGCCATCCCAGCTATTTCCAAGCGGGAAATAAATATTTTTGCAACTTGACAGCTGAATAATTTCGTTCCGGACGATTGCGCCTGCTCACATGAGCGTGCATAATCATGTGTACGATGTCGATGTGGGACTTAAAAAACTGGTTGTTTCGATTTAGTGCAAACAAGACCTCCTCATGTTCGTTATTATTAATGCCCAGTACATAATTTTTATGACGGTGATTAACACTAAATGCATAGTTATCTTGACAGCTGCGTTGCTGTTGAAATCGGGTTGCTGTGGATCGGTAAAGACAGTTACGACTGTTTGTGTCTGTGTTGTTTTTGCAGGTCGATGTCGCTGCATGGTGCCGTTCGTGCCGTGCAGCAATAATTTCACCGAGATCAGAAGAAATTTTACCGCGACCTGATTTCTATCCGCGCAAGAGAAAATCGGCTGATTTTGGCAATACTTTGCACTCATTGGGACATTTCGAATCACGCTGCCTAGTACGACGGCGCTGAGGCAGCTTTCGCTGCGACCTAACAACCATACAGGGAAACGGAATAACTGGAAAGGTCACCGAATTCTCGTGCCCTATATTTAGCGCTTACTCTGCCAATGCCGCTGGGCAAAAATGTGTCAAAACCACTCAGTCTGGTAGGTTACGCAATACCTCGGCGTTTTTCCGTTTCGTGCGACGTGCAGCTGTAGTCTTTGACCATACTTTACATTTGTAGCACTACACTAACGAAGTTCGTGGGGAGGGATTGACGGAACCGTCTAGTATTTGGAACTCGTGTTAGTTGTGATTGTTTGCACTTCGCATGTGACCTTTTACTCGGTTAAAACTCGAAACCAAGAGGCATTTCAGTATCGCGTAATACAGTGTACAGGTACGTTGCAGGTTTTAACGTGGAAGTTCTTTAATGGGATTTTTAGTAGTACTGCTCCTTGTGGTCGCGAAATAAAATACTCTTTACGGCAACCGTAGTCCATGGGGAAGCTGCATTCCGTCAAGCACAGTTCTAGATTTTAATGGCAGCAAACAGAATCTAAACAAATAATATTGCCGTTAAAATTATCGGACTGAATTCTGATTTCTGCATCATGAAGCTTCCTGAACGACGACCATATTTTTACCGTTGTTGCAAAAGAAAGCTTAACGAGGTAGCAATGAAACGGGGCGAATTGTTCGTCTAACACGTACAGCAATATAAATAGCCATCTGCGACAGGGAAACGTAAATCCGTAATAGCTTTGTCACAATTTACTGCACGTGTAGCACTCAGGCTAAAAATACTTTCTGTAATTGTATTGTATAGTAAACAGTCGAGTATGGTGCAGTATGCAGTGCAGTGCAGTATGGTGATCACTTCTAAGAGAGTAACATAACTGGCAATGGTCAATGGTCAGCAAAAGTCATTAAGGAAGTTGTTGTTTGGTTCGTTTGTAATCTACATAGGTACTGGTCATCGGTGACCTGTACATAAAGCTCATACACACACAACGCAGTAGGTACACACACAGGTTATAGAACCCAGTCAACCACTACTGTTGTGACACTACCTGTTCAAAAAACTGATAGCCAAGGCTTAACACGAGGACGTAACATCGACACCGTTCAGGTAGAACGCGTATCCGCACCGATTACAAAAGTCATTACAACACACCGCCGACGGAATCTTCGGGCACGTCTGGCAGTCGCACGGCTCCCGAAAACACTGGAAGTAGGCCTGATTAACGGGACAGCTGGTAACCAGCGGGCAACCGGGTTTCGGTGGCAGAAGCGGAAAGCGAGGAGTATCGGTAACATTGCAGCCGACCTGGAACCATCCCGCGGTTTCGGTGGACTTGGCCAGAACATACCAGCGGACACTGCAGCTAGTTCACCATTTGGTTATGCAGTGGGCGGTGAGATAGGCCGGGCAGTCGTTGCTGTACGGCGGACAGAGATCCGGGCACTCCGGGATGGGATTCGGGAAGAGGGGACACAGTTGCGATAGGTCAGGTAACGCTGTAAAGAAAAGCAGTAAAAAGAGTGCACTGCAACCGCTGGAAAAGAGGACTACAGGGGGAAAAGACCTACTGCATTGTGCGTACTGCGATGGACTTTATTGGTGACATTCTCGACTCCAAACTCTCAGTTAAAAAGCAGCTTCAGACGCGAGACAGTCGCGCTTATATTCGCGGCAAATGCCAAACATTAAAGGTTTTCGAACATGGCAGAACATCCATTTCCGATTCTACCCGCCGATAGCACCTTCTGTGGCAAAACTGTACCAGCAAGCGAAGTCGACTTTTCATGTTGGACTGCGAAACTGTGGAATGAACTGAATTTTGATGTAACAGCGTATCGCTCGATACGGACCTTCCAGAAGGCCCTGGATGAAGTATCATGGGAAAATTTTGCTTGGATTAAGGAACAGCTGCCTCAAGATCAGTTTTAAAGATTGGTTTTCGATAACGCTTAATGTTTGCAAGTGTCTCTTAATTTCAGTGTTTTTATGTTGCTCTTTTAATTCTCCTTTTGCACTGATTGTCTGTAGATCACGATAACGAGTGATTCCTTGTATCTAGAGACGTTAAACAATAAACCTGAAACCTAAACCTGAAACCTGAAAGTTTCAGGAGCAGCAAAAGACTGAAGGCTGTCATTATAGCAGTCCTTACCTGGGCATATTTCCGATGATGAGTTTATGGTGGCATTCTGACCGGCAACCTGAACCATGCAGAACGTAGCTAAGGTTAAAACGGTGCCAACCAGTACTGCGAGCGCGCTCTGAGTCTGAGTAGCCATTGCGAAGAATTTTCGACGTATCTCCAAACTGTAAATCTAACTGTACTCTATGTTTTAGATATGATTGCGATGCTCTGTTTTGTCGGCAGCTCGACGTTAACTTGACTGTTCATTGACTTGGCGCACATGATGGACAAGATCGGTGGATGTGTTGCGAAAGAAAGCAGCGCCGGGCCGCTGTCTTCTTGACAAACGAACAATCGAATATATAACATGTACAGCTAGAGAAAAGCAAGAACAGTAGCTTATTATGACAGCCACTCGTGTTGCGTAACGAAGCGCGTTTGTGAACGATTCGTATTTTGTACAGCACCATCAAAAGCGGATGCCGTTTTGACCAAGCAAGCCCTCCGTCAAATGAGCAGAAAAATCCTTTCGGTGTCGTTTGTTAGAAGCAGCGGCAAGTAATGCTGATATCGAGATAATTAAAACGGTCTGTATACAATAATTACTGCTAGTCTGCTACTCGTAGTCGATATTATAAAAGTGAATAAAACACTTTAAAGCTGTAGCGTAGAACACCAGCCAAGACAAAACTGGTACGATGGTAGTAAGATACACTACAATTCCTTCATCAAACTCGTACGCTTCCATCCATGGATGAATTTAATAGCCATGTGTTGCTGCCCATCACAACTGCCCGCATTATCAACCGCGATCCACGAGTATGTGAAAACGTTTCTCAGTTAGGACGCCAGTCTAGCAGTCGGCAATAAAGGCCACATGTATCAAATGCTTAATTAGATAGCAGTTTCCCTGTTCCTTCACAGCCAATAAAATCCGGGATTTCTTTGCGTCCGTAGCAACCAGAACGCAGCGCTTCGGTTGCCGCCGCCGCGCTCCTTCTGGGCGCCGCTGTGTGAAGCGCCGGTCACGCCCACATATGCAGCGACATTCCCTATTATTCCTGCTTTATCAATGGCAATGGAGAACCGAAAACGCTCCGCATGCCTTGATCCAACGTCTGGCTTTATTATTTCAACAAACAAAAAATAACATTTACACAATTACTTTACGGAGGCATACTAGCGTTATTAGAACCATGGTTCATCGGTGTCAAAGCCGAACACTGGCAATGCCGCGTGTCCAGGGCGAATAACAGCTGGCACGCCGCCTAGAAAATGGTCCGTGCTCATTGAATTACTCAGCGATTAAACCATATTGGGTCGAAATACGTATGCCTGACCTTGCGTCGCAGGGCCATGCCGGGATGCAGACTGTCATCGTACAGATGGATGTGCTCTTTGGAGTCGTGGTACACGGTGTCCCACAGCACGATCCCGGCGTCCCGGGCCACCTCGGCCACGATCTGTCCCAGCTGCTCCGTCAGCGTCACCCCGTTGCTCCGGTGCGTCCTGCGGGAATCCGCACGTTGTGGCTCATCGTGCATCGGCACTGGCAATATAAATTGTGCGGTGATCCATCATTTTCGTCGACAGAAATTCGTCCAGTGTCACCAAGTCAATGTGGACACGGTGTCGACCCGTCACGAAGCCGAACTAGCGTTTTGCCAGCTCTTCTTTGTTTTTCAGGTTCCTTAGGTTATTCTTAGGTTTCTTTATTGTCTTAGTCGTCGCGCTCGGTAGCGGTCGACATCGTGTGGTCGACTATGTGACGGTGGACGAATTTGTTAGTCGACATAATCGATAGATTTCTTAGATTTCTTGGACTTAATAGATTTTCTAGTCTTACTTAGGTTCTCAGTTTCCTAGCTACAGTCTAGCTGTGTTATTTTCTAAACTTTCTTGGGTTCTTAGGTTTCTTAGCTTCCTTTGCCCGCGCCCCCGTGACAATCGACTTCCAACGGCTGATCGATTGTCGCTGGACATAGTATCGGTTAGCCGAATCGGGTGCCATAGCGGCCTTATAGAATAGAACACTACACTGGTCTGGTTTTTCGGACGTCATGGAAATGATGTCGTAAGTGGTCAGTCACGGTGTCACCAACTACACAACGTACGTGTTCGTATCCAGATGACCGTTGTGCGATTGCGCAGGGCGTTACAGTCCCTTAGCTACGGTGCTCAAGTTTCCTGCGTAAAGTATGACACCAGGCATTCATGAAACCGCAGTAAAAGGAAGTAAAGAAAACCGCTTGGTTCACTTACGGCGAAACTCAGGCAGGAAAGCGTCGCCGAGGTAATACATGGTCCACTGTAGATCGACAACATTAACACGGTTTCCAAAATTTGCAAGTGTCTGTTGTTTGTAGGCTGTTACTATCTGCCACCAGGCAGTGCGAAAAGTCCGAACATCGCAAAACTAATGGTGCTAATTACAGTGTTACGGCTGCGTTTTCTCGCGGTTAATTATAACGATAAGATTGCACAGCTAAGTACCGGAGTATTCGGGTACAGACTACAGATACATACGGCACCGGTTTCCATGATGACGTAATGCGGTATCCCGTTGACATTCGCGGAGACGCTCCACTCGTGCAACAGCGCACGCATCGCTTCATCTGGATAACGACGAATGTAATAAGCCTGCAAAACCGTTTCGCTTAACACATCTTCGACAAGCATTGTTTCCTACATACAATGTCTGTTTCCCTTTCTTAGTTATTAATTTTTCAAGAAATAATACTGACAGCGTTACAGCGTACTTTATACAATTTAACACGTTTGTGTCACTTCAAAAAATGTTTTGGTAGAACGATGCAAAGGAGAAACGGTGTGGTGTATGATTTGTCTGGCGTACAAGCCTGTCCGGTAAGTTCGGTCGTAAAGATCGCGAAGTTTGCGCTTAAAACGATGGCCACTTCACTACGTTTGGCGTAACACGTAAATTTGTATATTTCGCTGTTTCGAAACAGGCAGAAATTACCGGACATGCTTGTACGTCTTCGCCAAAAAGACAGCATCACATGTAAACAGCGGTAGTGCATGTGCATACATGTATAACTGCTTAAGAAAGTAATGTTTAAATATACATAGGTCAACGCGTTAACTATATGTGTTTATTTATTATTTATTTATTAAACAGTTTAAACTGTTACCGCTGACCAGTTGGATATTGCGCTGCGCATCCCAGTACAGCGTGCCGTTGAAGCCCAACCTGGACTTCTTAAGGATGACATAGCGACCGTCCACTAAACTGCGGACGTAGGCGAACAGGTAGCGAATCCGAGAATCACCGATCAACGCGATGGACTTGTTGCTCAATGATGCCGTCAGCTGGATTCTGCAGAAGACAAACATCACTTCATTACGACTACGTATACAGTACGTACGACTGCGTACTGTTACTGTATAGGTTAAAATAAGTAATGATATTATAAAATAAATATGATAATATTACTGTATGATTAAATTAATATTATAATGCTTACTGAAAATTCTGGTCGAGATTGTGCAGGGAACAGTGCTGACACGAATAACCGCGGGTCAAATGCAGTGCGCACAGCGGATTCCGCCAAGAAGACACCACAGCGTTGGCCAAGCTGCAACAGATGCTCAAAGCAGGCTGATTACACGAAAGCGATCTCGTCATACTTCGACTTACACGGGCGCAGCGCGATCCGTCGCGTACGGACCAAAAACCGCGATGGATATTATGGATACACCGATGACCGTGACAACGACAATTGTAGCGATCCTCATTTCCTTACGCACCGGACGTAAATCGGCATGGCACTGTTAAGATGCGCGCATGCGGCAAGTTGCGCAGATTAGTAATTACCTCACTCTAATGAGTGAATGCACAGACATACAGACGGTGGAACACAGCCAGTTGGGAAAAACCTAAGAAGATTACAACAGACGTTTAAAGAAACCAAAGAAACCGGTGTACTGCAAAAACCGTCAAAGCGTGACAGTGTGCAGTCATGCAAATGGTTGCTTAATTGCAGTCTGTATTATCTGCTATACGTTCAGTCAACGGTTGCTTGAATTACAGTTTGTGTTATCCGCTACACGTGCCGTCTCTACGCAATACATTGCGTTGACTCGTCGCAGTGTTGTCACCCTCTTGCGCCACTACCCGTCTTGTGCATCGTAACGCTTAGCCATTTAATTTTTATGTTGACAGAATTAGACGCATGTGAGTCCTTCCGCTTTAAATACTTAAACAAACAAACAAACAAAACCAGTTCAGCTCCGTACTGCAGCAATAAACATACTACTACTCGTCGTGCTTTGACCAACATACCACAACAAACCGAGTACATAGCTATAAACCGTTATACAATTCTGCGCCGCATTTTTAGTTGGCCCACAGAGAAAGCGTGCATCTTGCATTACGCCGTGATTGTCCCGCCGGCTTTACTTTGGCTTTGCCACTGAATGCATTATGTTCGCGCCAACTTGTATGTATAATTAGCTATGTATTCATCGCTCATTGAGGATGACCTGCCGGCTCGATTGAGCATATTTGTTATTTATTAAGACAAACATTTGAAGTTCAATTCAAACGAAATTTGCGCATAAACTCGCTCCGAATTTAATTTAGCTTTTTACACTATACATAGCAGGATACAAAAAAGAAAATTCACACATTTTACAGTGTGCTCCCAGGATCGGAAGGTTATCTCGTAAGCTGGCTTAAAGCACCGTTTTGTGAATTTAAAAGAGAGCGCTACAAAAGTAAACCGCGAGCAAAATTTTCAAATGACATGGCACAATTCCAGTACTGCGGGATACGGTGGAGCGGAAAATAGAGCGTGGACCCATTAAAAATACGGGACGCTGTCGGATACGGAGCGCACCGCCGTCCCGCATCGTTTCACGGATAACCACGCACGCGCACCGGGAACCGACGGGCCATATCGCCGATTTGATGCTCCGGGATGGTGGTGTCCTGCAGCTGACATAGGCTCGGTAGACGGGCCCAAAGCCTCCAGTGCTTCTAATACAGAACCCGAGGATAGTCTTCTCTCAACGTCGTGGCACAAACAACTTCTGATTATGCTGTGAAGTTCTTCATTTGCCGGCTGCAGTAAACGAGGTGCGAATCCTTCAGCTAGTTTGAAAATGATGGTTAATCCAGCCGTTGTATCAGTTCTGGAGTTTCTCCATGGTGTCGTTTTTGTCGAACCAGTGCTTATTGTTGCCAGAATGACTGTCGGCGAGATTGACCAGGATACATCCTAAGCTCCATACGTCCGTCTTCCTACCCGGCAGCGCAGTGTCTAATTGTAGAAAAAATCTGGCCATTTTCTGGTGACATGTACTTTGCCGTGCCTACCAATCGCTTATGGTCTTTATTAGTCGTTTGACTATGCTGCATGAACACACTGGTGTCCAAGTCGGCAATGTACAGGTCATATTCCTATTTCCTCTTGGCCAGTCTGTCGAAGGAGCAAATTTGATGGCTTGATATCAAAGTGTGCAACTTTGTTTGCATGAAGGTATGCGATGCCGCTTGCTGTTTGGTGTCCAAGGTGTACCACATTCTTGAAAGAAAGCCTTTGCCGCTGGGCCATTAACTGCTTCAGTACTCCCGCAAGGTCGCCACCTATTACACGATTGTCACTTGTGCTACATGCATCCCTTAAAACTTACCACGAAATAAAATACTAATGTGTCTCCTCACTCATTAGGGCCCGTCATCGGATATAAATACAAAAAAATTCATATTTTGCTAGAAGACAGAGTAACACTGGAATAGGCAACAAAAAATAATTTCATCTGCCATGGTCAATGGGCGTGGTCAGAATAAAATTGAAAGCTACATCCTCAACTGTGCTGTAAGTGTAGCCAATGGGCAGTGCAGCGCATCATACTATGTACCGTTACTGAACAGTATTTTTAGGTACTTGAAGTACTCGTTCAAAGATTTTATGTGTTACTCTCCCATGGTAATTGTTGGTCACCGTTTTACTTTTTTCCGAAGAAATGAGATGTAAGTGCACAAACCTGAGATGTAGTCCATCATTACTTCGATTATACTGCCATATTCTGCACTTTCAATGGTAATTTTGTGGTAACTAACGATATTTTTATGCGTGAACTGGAGCATTCGTCTCCACCGATTTAAGCTTTCGGTTCTTAGTGATTCGATTGATTCTTCCCGCAAATGGATTTGCTTGACCGCTGCTAAGTTAGGCCCTTCATAATCCTCTGGAACTGTTATAGTTGCTTTGTAAACAGTAGCAAAGCCGCCTTGACCAATCCAGTCAGCTTTATGATCATATTCGTAAGTGCAGGTACTTCCAAACCGTGGTTGTACCTCCAGCTGTGTAATCATCTGTAGAAATTCATCAGCAGATATCCTGCTAGCGGCGCTGTGCTGCAAACATCGGCGAATGCACTCCGATAACGGCTCAGGTATGTCATCATCAATGCAAGGAAGGTAACCGCGTATTATTCCTACGGCGTACCGTATCGCGGATAGTTCTTGCCCGGCGTCGAAAAACTCCCCATCCAGTTCGAGATGATCAGCGGTAATGCCCAAACAATATTCGGCTATCTCCAGAATGATACATCCCAAACTCCACATATCGGTTTTTCGTCCTGGCGTTTCTTTTTCCGATAAGATGAACTTTCTCAATATTTCTGGTGATATGTACCGCAAGGCACCACGGATAGTCGAAACATCCGCAGAGCAGGTGTGGTTCTCTTGCATCAGAAGCACACCGTCCAGATCACCGATGACAAGCCTAGCGCAATGATCCGGCAGAACTTTTGCAAGTATTTTTTTCGGTTGTAGATCTCCGTGTATTATGTTTTTATCGTGTAAAAATAACAATCCTGTTGTTATATCTGTCGCAAAGGCCAGGATGGTCTCAAATAACTATAATTCTTCTCCATGTCTTTCAAAAGAGTGGTAAGATTACCTGGAAATTTTTAATTACAAATCAATTGTGTACCATAATCAGACAATGTTAGTGAGCTGCTAATGCGAGGAAGCCAACACAAAAACTTTACCATTAAGTCATTAACTGCTTCTGACCGTGAGTAGAATAATTAGTTTCTTACAGTCATAGAAATCCATCATCGTTTCGAATGTCATTCCCTTTAGGTCAATGGTTACGCGAATCTGATGGTAGGTAACAATATGAGGATTAACCAGCTCGACTGCTCTACGTAGTTTTTTAAAAATTTTCTTATAATATTCTGCATTGCGCGATGGAATTATGGAAGGGTCGGCCAGATGTTTCACTTTGACAGCCACCATCTCTTCTCCGGTGTAGTTTACACGTTTTGTGACCAAGGCTTTGTAGACAGACGCCGATGATCCTGTTCCAATGATGGCCTCTTTTTTGTAATCATACTGGCAATTGCTGCCGAATACAATATCGGCTTCGTTGGAAACTAAGCTGCCCATGTCCTTAACCAAAAAAAGGAACAGTTGTGGAAGTGTTTGCCGAGCAGCAAGCATACAGTTACACAACGGAAATTTCGAAAACGTTTACCCATGTACCTGACGACTGGTTATAAAGCAAGGAGATTTCAGACTTCTGTACGCAGCCAAAGCGCGGTTAAATACAATACAGTAATATTACACCTTTCCGGCTCTCCCGGTCTTTGACCCTTACGCACTCTCTATCGGCATGGGAAAATGCAGCCTGTGTGATAAGTACTGTTAATACTGAATAATTAACGATTACAGTGCATACGCCGTTATACGGTTTCATAAAGTGCCCGAGTGCTTGAATTAGTTGAATAGTGAGCCATGCAAGAGCCCATCCATAAGGTAGCTTTATCGCTCATGTTAGGCAACAATAACAACATGACTTCCGAGATAACTATATTATTCCTCGTAACTGATAAAACTAAAACTAGGTGTACGTACGCTCTCTCTGTTGCGTAAAGCAGGCGTCGCGTGGAGGTAGCATTTTCGCAGTGACTAGCGCCGCGCCGATTATAGGGAGCTTATACGGGGCTTCGAAATGGTGTTAAGACATACCCGCCCCGACCGTACAATTGTACAATTGTACACATAGCTTTAACGACTGCTACGGTAGTGTCACCACTTTTATCAAGTTCACTGTGAGTTTAAGTCCACTTTTATTAAGTCTGTAACTATACCGGTCTGTTTGATTGTTACATAAAAGTAATAATCTTTGCAACAATTGTTGCAACTGCAGCTTTGCAAGTACTTTGAAATACAAACCCACGATGTGGTTGTATCTCGATAGCGGATACCAAAATGGTATCCGTGTAAACAAAATTACTGCAGTACTTCCCATCATGTGTGAATGGTTCACACTGAACCGCTTGGTTATATACGAAAAAGATGTAAATTGCTCATGATTACTTACTTCGGCCTACAGTCGGAAAGACAGCCGTTTAACTCGCTTTAATGCATGTAGGCGATGTTAATGACAGCCACCCGTCCATGTCCAGGATCCAATCCGCGGTTTTAAGACAGATAGTCCTGGACTAACCTTTCTTTCCCTGCACAAACAGACAATAATACAAAGAGCGCTTCATTATGCTATCAGCAAGAAACCGGGACGAAGCAGACAAAGCGTACTTACGCAAATGTTTTATGTGACCAGCAGTTGCCTGCTTCACTGCCGCATCCTACGCGGTCGAAGTGGGCGGATTGAAGTTGCCGGCTTCCAGATGTACCAGGAAGACTGTATTAAAGCCTGCTGCATTGTGAATGACGCAGCTCCTTTTCAGCAGCGAGCCACCCGGGACCCAGAGCGGCCCTCTTATTACCGCCCGGTCGAGACAAAAACAATGCAGCGCTAAAATGTAATTGTAGAAAAGGTCACGAGTAGGTGACAGCGTCATGGCTGTGCTTTATGTTCGACAATTCCGCAGAAGAATTATCACGCATTCTGATTAGCGTGAAAGAGAATTCCAAATTCGCTGTTCAGCACAGGCAGTATCATAATTTCGCCTGTTGTCATCCTGTGATTAAAGCTGAGTTGCTGATCCTGGTGTAATAGCGCGTGCTTTACTCATATTGTAGTGCCTGCCACTACGCGTACAGTAAATTGATTTCAGGGCGTCGGTGCCATCTGATTGTGACAGATTTATTAATTCTCCATCCGACACCACAAAGCTTTTGTCTAAGTTATTAATTAGTTTGGTTTGATTGATGCAGATAATACAGCGACAGCAGACGCAACAGTTTTGCAGTGAAACATGATTGGCACCACTCTGATACTGTTAATTGTGGCCTGGGGAACCCATGCAGCCGTTCGCATGTGGCCGGCACCAGCCGCCACGATGCTCCGCCTACACACGGAACGCGCGCGAACCAACTGGGCTGATTTTCTCGGCCGAATGCCGTTTAGCAACACGACGACACCGCCCACTACCACCACGACGGAGGTCTCCGTGGAGCGCAGCCTGCACCTCAACTCCTTCGGGCCCTGGCAGAGCCTCCAGCCCTCCGACCGCGAACTGCGGCGACGCTACATCCTCATCCGGCGGGCACAGGCGCGGGCGGCGATGAATGCCGGCAACCCGGCTTTCGCCTCGGGCCAGGGCCTCGTTGTCAAGAATCTGGTGAACATCGGCTTGGGTCTGGGTCTGGTGTAGTGCCGCTACATTGCACATAAATGACATAATTAATCTGTGGTGTTCCGGCTGATGCGCAGCACACAACGAATATCCTAGCAATGCAACCACCCTAGCAATGAATACTCGTAATTCTGTTATTTCCGCGATACATTATTAAAATGTTTTAAACCAGGTTTCTACAGTGCTTGGACGTGCGGTCGTCGTTTTGTGCATATCATCGCGCATTGTTACCCGGTAGCTTAAAGAGTAGGTGTATGTTTTGATTCTGTTTCTCGCCATTAAAATTCGGAACTGCGTTTTTTTGGGAATAACCCAGTTGCCGTGAAGATTTGTTTTACATTTTATTAGCAATCATAGTGAACAGCCACACGGAAATCCACTTAAATATCGTTCATTATATACATACCGACAATTTTAAAAGGCCACAATGTCGGCTAGTAGCCTAGTACATAATACGAGTACATAGTACCGTACGAGTACCTAGTATCTGTAGTATTCTGTAGATAGTACTCGTATATATAGTTGTCCCATATACAAACACACGGTTAAAGACTTAAAAGAAGCAATATCAAGCAGTAAACACTGGCAATCCCGATGCACAAATCTTTACCGGACAATGTCGGCCGATGTGACAAAGCTGTGGATTTCACGACGACTGAGCAGCTTGGACCTACACGATGCAGATACAATTTATTGAGAAAAGTGCGCACCCTGTGTCCAATCGCCAGCATTAGTTTGCGTAGGATGCGTTAAAACAAGGCGTCTACCTTTTCTAGTTGGACACTGTGTATGCCGAAGAACTGTGGTAAAACTGCACAACGGTACACGAAATGTGTTCGCTACCTTTTTACAGAATCAACAACACGTGCGGCACGCTGGGACTCCTCCTCCGGATCCGCCGCATGCGCAGCCCAAGCACTCCGCGGAGCCCTTGTCGCACAAGGGGTTGCCGGGTTTGCACACTTCGGGACGGGCGCACAAGCCGACAAACTGGCCGGCACTGTAGCTGACCAACAGTACGAGGGAAAAGGCCAACATGAACACGCGCATGATGGATAGTGTCAGAGCTACTGTGCCACGAAAGTTTCCTGAAGACAGCGACTGCGCTGCTGCTGCTGTAGATTGGTTAGAAGATGAAACTGAGATAGTAACATGGCAGCTGTGACGGTCAGTTAACATAGTCGCCGCGCAGACGCGCTGAAACCTTTTACACCGTTTTTGATTCCCCCCGGTTTCCACTTAATGGCTTTTAGTTAGCAGTTTTCTACCGGTTTCCGTTTGCTTGTTTGAAGGGGTCTTGTGGCCCCCTGCCCAATGAATTCCGAACACGGGACTCATAAACATTTTATACCACTTGATAGCTTCAGTTCCGGACGACTGTGCCTGCCCGCATGACCGTCGCGCCGTTCATTACTGCATAATCATCGTGCCTCGTTGTAACGCATATAGCGCAAACAGTGGTCGGGTGCTCGAACCAAAAACTGGCGGCTTGTGTGCACTCGATGTCTGTATTCTGTTACCCGTATCTTTACACGGCTACGTCTATGACCTTTTACGATATCCCGTAACAACGATGTTTAGTCGTTTAATACCGTAAGCTGTATTCTGCACAGATCGTAAAGTCAGAATGATTCCATCATTTCCGCCAGAAGCACACTACCACAAAATGAGACCGTCTGGCCACATGCCAATGCATTCAGTTCATAACATTTCCAAGGACCGTTATCAACATACCACCAAGACTATCGATACACTTCCCATGACAAATGAAAGTTAGTTATGCAACAGCATGAACAACAGGTGCACGCGCCGGTCATGCGCATCCACGCATCCACACGCGACTGGCAGCGCGTTGTTAGTATTAAGCGGTTCCCCTTGGGACGCGTTATCAGCGTTATACGGCTAGCATTTCCAGCGAAATGCACCAATAGATATCACATAACAGTATTTTATTATGTTGTTATTACTGCTCAGTGTAGTTATTACTGCTCAGTAATCACTTTCATGACAGTGATTAAACTTACTGCATGGTAATCTTGTCAACAGATGCATGCTGCTGCCAAACGAGCTGCTGTTGATCACTACGGTTAGTCTCGACATACGACATCTTTAATTGGAAATTGTTGTTGCTTTGTTTATTACATGGCGCATTTTCTGCCATGCAGCTTCTTTTGCCGAGGCCCGGTGTCTAACCAAGTGGGAGAAACCGGGACATCTGTTTGTGCATCGGATTTGCCGGTTCCTCTATTTTGCTGCTTGCCTTCTATAATTGCTTTTGAATGCTTTATTACCGTGCAGTGCTTACATTCGCAACGGTGGGCCTTCGTGACCTTTTAAAAGGAAAACCGGAGAAATGTCTGTTCGACGTTACCGGAAAACATAAATTCGTACTACGAGAACAACAATAACTTTTACATAATCTGTATTCTGCTCTCGTTAAAACATTGACCGAAAAGGCTTAGCACGAGGATGTAACATCGACACCGTTCAGGTAGAACGCGTATCCGCACCGATTACAAAAGTCATTACAACACACCGCCGACGGAATCTTCGGGCACGTCTGGCAGTCGCACGGCTCCCGAAAACACCGAAAGTAGGCCTGATTTACGGGACAGCTGGTAACCAGTGGGCAACCGGGTTTCGGTGGCAGAAGCGGAAAGCGAGGAGTATCGGTAACATTGCAGCCGACCTGGAACCATCCCGCGGTTTCGGTGGACTTGGCCAGAACATACCAGCGGACACTGCAGCTGCTACACCATTTGGTTATGCAGTGGGCGGTGGGATAGGCCGAGCAGTTGTGGCTGTACGGCGGACACAGATCCGGGCACTCCGGGATCGGGTTCGGGAAGATGGGGCACAGTTGCGACAAGACGGGTTCCGCTGCAACAAATGGTACATGTACACGCTTATCCCGTAATTCCTATCGAAAAGGTACGGATCACCCGAATTTAGCACGAAATTTGTGCTCTGAAAGAATATCCTTACACTGCGTCTACCACAACGACAATATTTAAAACATTATAAACGAGAAAAGTTAATATTTATCTTACATCAGTAGCTTACAATTTAGATGAATATATGGCATGCAATTTAGCTATACCAAAAGCATTAGGAGCGTAGTGTGGCGTAGCGCGCCGTAGTTTGGAATTTAGCGTTACCCGTAAATTTATATTTGCCGCTGTGTTAATGCGATAGTAATTACGGGACAGGCTTGTACTAAGAACTTATGGCCAGTTGGTCCACGTTTCGATCAGCGCTTGTTTTAGCGGATTGTAGGTTCCGGTAAACATTCACACAATCCTTACCTGGGCATCTTTCCGATACTGAGTCGATGGTGCCGTTTTGGCCGGCAACCATGCCGAACGCCGCTAAAGCAGAAACCGTAGCAAATAATACTGTGTCCGCAATACCCATTTTGAACCTTGAATTGAACTGTAATGTGCTGTGCGGGTTTAATAATGCCTCTGTCAGCTGCTCGTTAACTTTACGAAGTGTAGCATTTATTTCACTGTTAACGAAATCACAGCGAAGCTTCCAAAGAAAAACAACATCGGGCACGAGGTTTACTGTGCATTCACTTGCCCGATCGATCTGTTGCACAACAAGCCGCTTGTTGTGTGGTTCGGTGTTTTCTGGCGAACGGACAGACGGATGGATGCATGATACACGTAGCTTTACAAGCGAGCTAAAGTAAGCGCTACTGAATAGTGAATACCTCGTTTAATGCAGCAAATTGTACTACAGTGGGTACAAGTTTGTCGACAAATGCAGCATAGCGCTAATATCGCTCTATATGATAAGTACCTTTACATGCTCAATTTGTCGACAAGCTTGCACAGTGCTCCGCCGCACAGAAACACGCTCCACCGACCACCGTTAACCCGCTGTTGTGGAGGCTAATCTTGCGTTGTCTTATTTATCATTAATTTGTAAAAACAAGCATTACTGACAAGTGACCGCATCATTGTATGACAGCACACTCGCATCATTCGGCAAAAGGTTCAAAACGCCAACGGAGCAAAAGAGGAACACTGGCAGTGGCGCGGGTCCAGGGCATACAACAGCTGGCAAGCCGCCTAAAAAACAGACCAAATTGCGTTCCATCACGCAGCGTATGTTGGGTGGACAATATTTGGACCTTGCGTCGCAGAGCGAGGCCGGGGTGTAGGATGTCGTCGTACAGTTGGATGTGCTCCCTGGAGTCGGCATACACGGCGTCCCACAGCACGATCCCGGCTTCCCGGGCCACCTCCGCCACGAGCAAACCCAGCTGCTCCGTCAGCGCCACACCGTTGCGCCGGTGCGTCCATTTGGGGTCCACGCGCAGCCGTTCATCGTGCATCGGCACTGTGAACCAACGACAACTTGCTCGTTAATCTTGATATGTATGACAATAAGTACTATGTTATTATTGTTTAAAGAGTAACAACCATTAATTCTGTGTTCCTGCAAAGGCCAAAGCGTACGCATGTGAGACTAAATGCACAAAACGGCTTTCGGAGTGATGAATGAGAAAACCAGTGGTATTCTATGCGGGCGACGTGTGGGTCGGCACTATCGTTGATAGTTAGCCAGACTGTTAATGTGACGGTCAGGTCAAGAGAAGACAGATTAAGATTAGTACATCACATCAAGACAGATAGTGATGTCCTCAGGATGTAACTTGTACGTCAACAGCGAAGCTGCGAACTACATACTTATAGCGTAACGTACGTGTGCGTATCCAGATGATTGTGGTGCGGTTGCGCAGGGCGCTGCAATCCTTAGCTACAACGGTCAGATTTCCTGCAGTTGAACCCGGTTATGCGATACATATAAGAGTTACAAATACTCGGACTTTACTTACGACGGAACTCCGAAACGAATGCGTCGCCGCGAAAATACACGGTCCACTGCGTATTAAGAAATCAATGTATCATGTGGATATTGTAAAATTTTTTTACCTTTGTAAATGCAAGATTAATTGCGCGAACACTACAGGTAATTGTTAGCTGCGTTTGTGTAGAGCAAATTAACTACTCGCGTACTGCGCAACACTGCTTACCGCACCGGTTTCCATGATGACGTAATGCGGTATGCGGTTGGCGTCGGTTGCGTTGCGCCATTCGTGCAGCAGTGCACGCATCGCCTCATCTGGGTAGCGCCGTATGTAGTAGGCCTATAAAACCGGTTTATTGTCGACATTCTAATAAGTACTACAGATTTCCCATTTCGGACGTATGTCATCGGGCTCACCAGTTGGATATTACGCTGTGCATCCCGGTGCAGCGTGTCATTGAAGTTCTCCCTGGATTTCTTTAGTATAACCTGCCGTCCGTCCAGCATACTGCGCATGTAAGCGAACATGTAGCGAATGCGTGAATCACCGACCAGCGCGATGGATTTGTTGCTCAGCGTTTCCGTCAACTGGTTGCTGCAGACGACCATTTTTTAGCCTCTACTTTATGTCTTAATAGGGCAGTAGATTAAGATGTGCTAGTATCCAACACTATTCGCCGGATTCAGTTTTTATTGGATGAGTACTTAATTTCTACCCAAAATGGTACAAGTGTATCATATCCAAAATTTTCAATTTAATAAGAAGAATAATTCTCTACAAATTCCGTCAGCGCTGGGGATGGCCGGTGGTCAATGATTGCCTGCTTACTCGAAATTCCGGTGCAGATTGTCCATGGAACAGTGCTGACACGGCTGACCCCGGGTCAGATGCAGTGCGCACAACGGATTCCGCCAATTAGGCAGCAGTGGATTGGAAAGATTGCTGCACACAACCAGGCTCTGATTACACATTAATACATCATCAGATGATCGCAGTAAATCTTGACTTACATGAGTGCGGTCGTGTCATTCAGGTCCGTCGCGTCCGGGCCAATCACAACGAGGGATATCATGTAAACACCAATGCACGCGACAACGACAAGAATGACCCGCATTTCCGGACTAACAAGTGCTGGATTACATCGGCATGCTGTTTGTACCTTTGTACGATCACTTGAACAAATTAGATCAACCAGTGAAGGAAACTTATCGGAACAGTGATGAAAGAAACCTAAGAAACCAGTCCACGCTACAATAGCGTGCAGCGAGCAGTCATGCATACAGCATACTGTATATCAACAATCATGCTATACGTTGCGTACACGAACTATAGCCGCGTAGTCGTCAAACCAGCAACGGCGTCACTGCCCACACACCCAGTCAGGTGCATCGTAACGCTTGGTCAACTGACTGGGGCGGCGTTAGAACCAGAAGTACAGCTGCATTATGTAATGGTATGACGCTGGTTTCCCTTCGATGGTACGCTAGTTCAGCGTCATGCTGCAGTCATAAACCTCGTACTTTGACCAACATTCCGCAAAATGCCGGGTGTGAAATCGGGGTAGGTCAGCGTGTTTGCCAACGTCGAGCAGCAGTCAACGGCAGTCTTGCAAGTTGCAGATGGGCCACTACACAGTGAGTGCGCGTTCATGCCATCTTGCATACGAGTATAATTATTTCGCTGCTAGACGAATCTCGTTCGGTATTGTATATCCCTTGGTTGTTCCTGGAATAACCGTTACTACCGTGTGCTTGAAGACCACATGGAAATTATTTATGGTGAATTTGGTAAAAGATTTTCTTCGCAAAATGACGTACGAACATATACCAACCGGCAACCGTAATGCACGTACTGTCAAGAATTGCTGGAACTCCACACTAACGCGTACACACTGAGATATGAAAAAGCAACCGTGCAGCTATCAAAAATAATAACTGGATCTAGGAATTATCTGTATTTTGGCTTTTTTTATTCACATTCACACAATTCTAACACAATTCGTCACGCCAACTTGATGGCATGACTGGAGAAATAGTTTAATGGCCGAAAAGAGGAACACTGGCACTGGTGCGTATCCAGGGCCAGCAACAACTGGCATGCCGCCTAAAAAATCCCATTTTGTTCAGTTCGTAGTGACGGTCGTGCTGGTAGTCGGAAATACGGACCTTGCGTCGCAGAGCAAGACCGGGATGCAGGGCGTCGTTGTAGAGGGTGATGTGCTCCGCGGAGTCGGCATACACGGCGTCCCACACCACGATGCCGGCGTCCCGGGTCACCTCCGTCACAATCCGCCCCAACTGCTCCGTCAGCGCCGCGCCGTTCGGCCGGTGCGTCCAGCGGGGGTCCGTGCGCAGCCGCACAGGGTCCAGCGGAACTGAAGCGGACATTATTTTAGTCATTTTCAGTGGCGACAGTGGGGTGCCGTAATCACCTACGTGTTCGCATCCAGATGACCGTGGTGCTGTTGCGCAGAGCGCTACAATCCTTTGCTACAGCGGTCAGGTTGCCTGTTTAAGCGGTTCCCTGAATAAACAAATTTGCCAGAGGGTGCGAGTTGGTAAAGTGACGTACTGCGAAACTCCTCAAGGGCGGCCTCTCCGTGAAAAAGGGCGGTCCACTGTAACAGAAGAAAGAGTTTGTCGCCTGTTTTTTTTTCTTTTTTTTTGCTGGCCGCTGTTTTTCGTACATATCACCTTCACGTTCATTTTACCTCAAAGCGTTTATAGTGCTGCTATATGAAGCAACATGCGAATTACGAAGCAACCACGCGGGCCTGTCCACGCCCGCTATAATTATTAGGCGGGTACTTGCACAACACCACAAGACTGTTATTTGCATACTACTTACGGCACCGGTTTCCATGATGACGTAATGCGGTATTCGGCTGGTATCGGTTGCGTTGCTCCACTCATGCATCAGTGCGCGCATCGCGTCATCCGGATAGCGACGCACGTAGAAAGCCTGCATGCAACCAAAACCGGTTATCGGCATGCCAATACGCATTTACCAGTACAATACTTTGCATTCTTTCATATTAACCGAATAGTAACAATTTCGCTCGTGTATTTCCAATTATTAACTGTACTTCTGGAGAACCCATCAGATTTTAATAAAACATTTTGTCTCGACTGTAGACATTAACAAGGTACAGAACAGGCAGCTATTTCCAGAATAAGAAAAATTATAAATCAATATCACCGAATGGCATTGCAAGTATTTTTGCTTTATTTGTTTTATGGTTTTATACTGTAACATCATAGCCACTTACGACCTGGATGTGACGCTGCATGTCACGGTGCAGGGTGTCATTAAAAACCTTCCTGGATGGTTTGACTTGCCTGCTGTCTAGCATGCTGCGTAGGTATGCGAACAGATAACGCATGCGCGAATCACCGACCAGAGCGATGGACTTGTTGCGCAACGATGCCGTCAGCTGCTTTCTGCAACCACATCCATATCGTTCGTTAACGCCATTGTGGCGCTGGCTACGTCACGCTTACTGGAAATTCCTGTGCAAGCTGTCCAGGGAACAATGCTGGCACGGATGACCTGTGGTCAGATGCGCCACGCACAGCGGGTGCCGCCAGTGGCGACGCGGGTGGATGGAAGCGCCTCCGTGCAAAGATTGCTCCGAATCTGATTCATAGTTGTATGCGATGTACGAAAAGTCTACTTACACGAAAGCGGTGATCTGCGCCGTATGCTTCGGGATTATAATGAGGGATATTATAAAAATGCCGAGGCCCAGGACAGTGGCGAAAATCATACGCATTTCCTTACTGCGCGTTCTCCTTAACGCATCAGATTCACCTGTGCAGTCACTTCCACTGATTATCTAACGCATTTACTTGATTACTGTCCACTGCAAGCTGCCATGATACGGAAAGGTGGTGAAAGATACTGAAGAAACCAGCCTATGCGCAGCGGCCTGTCAAGCGAAGCAGTGCGCTCAAGCGTACTACGTAGCAGACCTGGGCAGTTATGGAATTCGGACTCATAGTTAGAGATAATAGTTAATCGCAGCTCGCGAGTTAAGTTACGAGTTGAGTTAGCGGCAATAACTCGAGTTAACTCGCGTTAAAATAAATAAATCGCTTTTCAATAAAAAAATTTTGCACTTTATTAACCATTTTCAACTAATCTTTTACGCGTACCAGTATCACTATTACCAGATTTGAAACACATTTCAGAATTAACTTTTTTCGAGCAAGTGTTTTCAAAACTCGCATCAGTGCAATTAGCTCGTCTGGGACCCAGGGAAGCGCCCGCAACGCTGGACTTTTACACTATGGTGTATTACTGTATGGTTCTCTGTACATGGCTGCCAAACATGGCGTTACACGGCTCGGACTGTTTTCCCAATGGACAAGTAGCAGAAACACACAGACAACAAATTCCCTTGTGGTTTTGCTGCAGAACATTGGTGTCCTCCTACCGTTGACCAAAGTTTGTTCCCTAAAAAACTCCCCGTCTGTTCTCTGCCCGCTGCTAGAGCCTGGACGTGCATTATGTTAATTAAGCTCAGATGATGTATCTGTAAACGACTACAATCACAGTCAGAATACACTGATTGCACTCCCCAATATTTACGTAGAAGGAGAGAAGCGTTTTGCTCGGACTGTTTCCCTCTATTGCTGCTGTCACCCGCCTGGATAGTGATGCGTTACCGCAGTACATCTGATTAAATCTGGCGCACTAAATAAGTGCCGTGTTTAGCTACAACGTAGAAACTCCAGCCAGGTGACGGCAGCAGTACAGGGAGACGGTCCGAGTGTAATGGTTTTCCCCTTATATTCATCTAGCCAATGCCTTGGGCGGTCGTACTGTTCGTCGGCACGAGCAGTTTTGAACATATCTTTATCGAAATTTATGCGATACACGGTTAGAATAATATTCTTTCTGATATTTCTGAAACTCAATTTCATTTTTAACATCAACTAAAATCTGCAGAGTTACGCTAAACTCGAGTTGCGCTAAATCATTTTTGAGTTGCGCTAGAGTTAAGTTTTCGTCCTCGCGAGTTAAGCTTCAGAGTTAAGTTATAACTCGTTAACTCGAAAAAAACTCGCGTTAAGTTAAATAGTTAAAATTAACTGCCCAGGTCTGCTACGTAGTATGCATATCAGCATATGTAACGATTTACCTGATTGAAGTTGAAGCTGTAGAATCGTTAGCCGGCTTTAACGTCACGCACCACACCATTATCACACACTGGCACCACAAAATTATCGCATTTTTGCTTCTTCCTCCATAATAAAGCCCCCCTTCGTAATTAAAATTGTAGTGTATGTGAGAGAGCGTAGTATGCATGTATTGTGTAATATGTATCTGCATTTATAGGGAAGTACGGATCTTACTGGACACTGGCGAATCGCAACTGAATTCATGACCCAGCAACCGTAGGAAGTACAAAATAGCGTTCATAGATGGGTAGTATCGCAGAATCTGGAGAACCTCATGATATGTACGTACCGTACGTACACCCGTACATCAGAAAATTCATTTCATCCGTTTTTTTCTAAATTAATTATTGTATAACGTTAGTTTGGCTAACTCAGACTGGGACTGCGATGTGCCGCTTCAGGAAGCTTATTAGATTACACTAAGTGGGTGGTCGTCGAAGAACAAGAAGAAATGTCACAGACTTTCGTAGGCATTTTATTAACCACTCATAAATAACTAAGAATAGCTCCTAAGTCATATTAGCTCGTACAGTCGACAGCTCGTAAATCGTTAGCTCCTACAATGTTCGTTTACAAAAACATAACATAGGTTTTTATACGAGTACATGAATCATAATAAATCAGATAATCAGTCAGTTTAAGCAGCGAATATCTATCCAAATACAACGTGGAAATGCAATATGTGTAATGGGAACAATCCCTGACCAGGATAGCATAGAGAAAGTGTTTCTGTTATACAATAAATTTTGTTATTGGTACTCAGTTTGTATCCGGAATGTGATACTTATTAAAGGTGAACAGAAAGTTAGTTTATTTCATCTAAATTTCACAGAATTTCATCTAAATCTGCGTCTGCTTCCACTGTTCCCAGCGCGGAATCAGGATTCCCTGGCTGAATTTCCATAGACAGGCGTTGGAGGAGAAACTCATGGGACCGAGCTTTACCCGTTTGCCGTGTAAGCCGCTTGCCGATTTCCTTCACTACGGTGGTGGCCGACGTACCCCATGGGG